TTTTCCATCAAATTTTGTACTTTTCGCTTCATTACCTTTGCAAAAGAAAAAATTCCAAAAGAAAAAATATTTTTTTTTTTAATTTTTAAATTCTTTGACCTTGGGAGTACTGTCGGTCAACAATCAAGAGCTCGTATGAAAACCAGGACATCTTTTTTCTTGAATTCCTTGTTCGAAAACCGATTTGTTCGAGTAGTAGTACGTTCGACAACCAAGGTTCCACTGTACGTATAAGAATTCTGTAATGCTTTTGTATAAAATCAAACAATTACAAAAGTTTATAAATGCAGCTTAAAAAATTAATCTTATTTACAATTTTAACTTATTTTCATCACATACAGGTCTCCCTCAACATTCACGCTTTCCACTTTTGCGGGCTTCGAACATTCGTGAATTCCCAGCTGCCAAATCATATTTATGTAGAGGGCTTTGAAGGTGATGAACGACATTGATAGAAGCCTAATTCCCTACAAAACTCTGTAGATATGAAGAAATGGTCTCAGTTGCCCATCACAATTTTCTTCACAAGGAAGCCTGCCACAACAGTCCCCATCCCTTTTCCCAAGGTCCCATCGAAGCTAAAACCTTGGGTAGTTTCAAATTTAGGTTGGATAAATACATGATTGAGAGGGGGTGGATTTGAGTGGGACTTTCACATGAGTAAATAGAATGATCTAAGCTTATTGATTGGGTAGCATTTATTCTGTTAGTGGGTTGGATTTGTGAAGAATCTGCTAAGTATAAGCCAACAGGCCTACTGCAGTGTTCCTCCTTTCTTGGAAATAAATGGTATAAAATACCAACACAATGGAAATATAAACACTTAAGCAGTATAATGTGATCCTTTATTGACAACGTTTCACCCATGCAGTGGGCTTCATCAAGTCACAAACAGATCTACCTGGGTGAAACATACGTGACTATATATAAGATGGGAATGCTGGGTCAGGTGGAGAAAGCTGCATGTGACAATCTTTGGATTAGAGTGAAGAAGTCTAAAAACTTGGGTAGCTTTGAAAAGAGATTGGATAAGTCAGTAAGTGGATCTTCTGCAGTGTTCCTCGATTCTTATGTTCTTATGTGGGATAGCATTAAAGAAGTTTCTTTGTGAGGGGTTCAGCTATGTTATAGAAGCCGTTGTTCTGGCTGAAGTTGTTGGATGTACAGATATGGATTCTTCGGTAATGAGTGTTGTCTTCTCTGGCGATAAGTCTTGCGTTTCTGTAGTTGATTAAATGGTTGTGTGAATTTTGGTGTTGAACACAGGCATTCCTTGGATTGTCAGATCTGCCGCCATACTGGTGTTCTGAAATACATGTTTGGAGGTCTCTGGGTGTTTTGCCGACGTATAATTTGCTGCAGTCATTACAAGGGTTTGTGTATACCCCTGCAGAGGATTGAAGCTGGTTTTGTCTATTACTGGTAATGCCCTTGATGTGGTGGATGTGGAAGTAGATACACTTGGAATGAGGTTTTGGAGATGTTGGAAATGTATTTGGTAATGGAGTTGGTGGGGAGGAATATGTATCTCTTCTCGGAAGTGTCTTTTCTGGGTGTGCTAAAGATGTTTAATGCCCGTCGTCTGCAGTCACTAATAGAGTGACGAGGATAGTGAAGTTTAGAAAATACTTGTTCAGTAAGAGTATTCTTCTTCAAGAAACTCACTGCTGCAGATTATAAGTGCACATAGGAAAAAGCCTATTATTACATCACGTTTACTTTTGGTGTCGTGGTGAGAGTAGAAGTGCAGAAGTTCATGGTCAGCTTTGCAGAGAAGAACATCGAGGAAAGGAAGAGTTGTCAACTTCTTCTAGTGTGAACTGGATAGAGGGCTCGACCTGGTCGAGCTTGTGTTGGAGAGCATGAACGTTGAAGTTTTTAGACTTCTTCACTCTACTCCAAAGATTGTCACATGCAGCTTTCTCCACCGGACTCAGCATTCCCATCCTATAGATAGTCACGTACATTTCACCCAGATAGATCTGTTTGTACTTTTGTTTTTCCTTTTGGGCCACCCCTCCTCGGTGGGATACGGCCAGTATGTTGAAAGAAAGATCTGTTTGTGAATTGATAAAGCCCACTGTGTGGGCGAAACATTGTCAATAAAGGATCACATTATACTGCTTAAGTGTTTATATTTCCTCCTTTCTTATGTTGATGAGTGGAACAATGAGGAAATGGTATGGTGTTACCGACAAGATGTGGAAAAAGACACTTATGTACAGTTCAGAATATTTATTAAAGGAAACGTTTAGCCACGAGCAGCTTCTTCAGTCCTAATACAGAGAAAACTAAGAGAACGCGTATATATAGTGGCAGGATTCAGGTGAAGTGTCATGTGGGTAGAGGTGGTAGTAGTAGTAGTAGTAGTAGTAGTAGTAGTAGTAGTGGAGGGATGAGGGATGGCTACAGAGGGACCTGATAAATTAGACACATGTGCAACTCTTGGGTATCTTTATTAAGGAAACGTTTTGCCACACAGTGGCTTCATCAGTCCATACACAGGAGAAGCTTGAAGAATAGGAGGAGAATGAGGTAATCAGTCCCTCAACCTTGAGACGATGTGGTCAGTCCATCAATCTTGAGTAGAATACGGCATATGAGCGGAGAAGGAGCTTATAAACCGTAGGTAGGAGAGGTGCAGCAGTCATAGGTGGTGTCACATTGGGCAAATGTGACACCACCTATGACTGCTGCATCTCTCCTACCTACGGTTTATAAGCTCCTTCTCCGCTCATATGCCGTATTCTACTCAAGATTGATGGACCGACCACATCGTCTCAAGGTTGAGGGACTGATTACCTCATTCTCCTCCTATTCTTCAAGCTTCTCCTGTGTATGGACTGATGAAGCCACTGTGTGGCGAAACGTTTCCTTAATAAAGATACCCAAGAGTTGCACATGTGTCTAATTTATCAGGTCCCTCTGTAGCCATCCCTCATCCCTCCACTACTACTACTATTACTACTACCACCTCTACCCACATGACACTTCACCTGAATCCTGCCACTATATATACGCGTTTTCTTAGTTTTCTCTGTATTAGGACTAAAGAAGCCACTCGTGGTAAAACGTTTCCTTTAATAAATGTCCTGAACCGTACTTAAGTGTCTTTTTCCACACGAGTGGAACAGTCTGCCTAATATGGTTATAAGAACATATGAACATAGGAAAGGAGGAACACTGCAGTAGCCCTGTTGGCTCACACTAGGCAGGTCCTTCACAATCCATCCCACTAGCACAATATTTGCCCACCCCAATTTTCACTGCTACCCAAGTAATAAGATTTGATAATTCTTGGGTAGTTGAAAATCTGGGTTGGATAAATACATGAGTGAGAGGGGTTGGATTTTAGTGGGACTTGCACAGAATAGAATTATCAAAGCTTATTGCTTGGGTAGCACTGAAAATTGAGTTGGGCAAATATTCTGCCAGTGTGATGGATTGTGAAGGACCTGGGTAGTATGGGCCAACAGGCCTACTGCAGTGTTCCTCCTTTCTTATGTTCTTATACCCATATTCGGCAGACTGTTCCACTTATCAACATAAGAACATAAGAATGGAGGAACACTGCAATAGGCCTGTCGGCCTATCCTTGGCAGGTCCTTCACAAATCAAACCACTAACAGAATCAATGCTACCCAAGCAATAAGAACATAAGAAAGGAGGAACACTGCAGCAGGCCTGTTGGCCCATACTAGGCAGGTCCTTCACAATCCATCCCACTAACAAAATATTTGCCCAACCCAATTTTCAATGCTACCTAAGAAATAAGCTTTGATAATTCTATTTATCTATAGAGGCAAAGAAGGGAATATATGAAAGTATAGTGGTACAACACTCTTATATGGGTGTGAAGCTTGGGTTGTAAATGCTGCAGCGAGGAAATGGCTGGAGGCAGTGGAGATATCCTGTCTAAGGGCAATGTGTGGTGTAAATTTTATGCAGAAAGTTCAGAGTGTGGAAATTAGGAGGTGTGGAGTTAATAAAAGTATTAGTTAGAGGGCTGAAGAGGGGTTGTTGAGGTGATTTGGTCATTTCGAGAGGATGGATCAAAGTAGAATGACATGGAGAGCGTATAAATCTGTAAAGGAAGGAAGCCAGGGTAGGGGTCATCCTCGAAAAAGTTGGAGGGATGGGGTAAAGGAGGTTTTGTGGGTGAGGGGCTTGGACTTCCAGCAAGCATGCATGAGCGTGTTAGATAGGAGTGAATGGAGATGAATGGTATTTGGGACCTGATGAGCTGTTGGAGTGTGAGCAGGGTAATATTTAGTGAAGGGATTCAGGGAAACCGGTTATTTTTATATAGCCGGACTCGAGTCCTGGAAATGGGAAGTACAATGCCTGCACTTTAAAGGGGCGGTTTGGGATATTGGCAGTTTGGAAGGATATGTTGTGCACCTTTATATGTATATGCTTCTAAACTGTTGTATTCTGAGCACCTCTGCAAAAACAGCGATTATGTGTGAGTGAGATGAAAGTGTTTAATGACGATGAAAGTATTTTCTTATTGGGGATTTTCTTTCTTTTTGGGTCACCCTGCCTCGGGTGCAAGTACCACTTAAATCCAACCCCTCTCATTCGTGTATTTATCCAACCTAAATCTGAAACTACCCAAGGTTTTAGCTTCAATAAGACCTTGGGTAGCTTTAAAAAGAGTTTGGACAAATATACGAGTGGAAGGAGCATGTATGTATATACAATATATGTATGTATTTTATGAAGTTTTCATGTGTTTTATGATTGTTCATGGTTCAACAGGTTAAGGAAGCAGTACTGTATTATATTTCCCTACAATATATTGGGGTACCAAACATTTGCGAGGATCTTGATCCCCTAACCCTCATGAATGTTGAGGGAAACCTGTATATACTAAAGTATGTTTACTGATAATTATCCTTAATTTAGTTAGGACTATAAAATGTATTAGAATTACCAAAAAGCATTTCCTAGTCCATGCATAATTTCTTTTTTAAGCTATTATACAGTACTTCTAATACCTTGGGAGATGATTTTCAGACTGTGTTTTAGGTAGGGTTGCAGTTGACATGGGCCGCTTAGGATCACGTGGAGTCGTTGATGGTGTAGTAGGAAGTGAAATTGTTGAGCGTGAGAGAGATTTCCCCATTTCTATACCCCCTGCAGCCTCGCTACTATACTTTATATTAGTGTACTCTCGACCCAATTGCAAGCTCTTCTGCTCTGCAGAGATACGTTGTTGCACAGTCTCTATATGGTGCTGGACGGCCAGGTAAACAAATTTATATTGTGCCTCTGTCTGTACCATTCCAGAACGCTGTGATCGAACCATTTGGATTGTACGCTGTATGTCAATTTCACAATCAAGACCTGAAAAATAAGAATAATTTTGATATTAATTAAAATTTCTTTTACTATTGATCAAAGTATATAGAAAACGTTAAACAAAATTTGCAACCCGAATTTTCAATCATAATTCACAATATTATAATTTGGAAAGTTTCTTAATATAAACACTCCACATTTATTAAATAAACACTGAAGAATTAAAAGTTAGTACAGTATATGTAGCTCTGTGGAGGGCATAACAAATTTTACATTAAAAACTAAGTACTGTAGTGTTAAACACACCAAAGTATTAGGAAAGTTCAAAAATTAATTACAATTTACAACCTCCATGCATATCCCATAAAAACAAATACAGCCTCTCCTCACTTTACGTCGCAGTTCCATTCCTAAGACCCCATCGGTAAACGAATTCGTTGCTAAGTGAGGAGCATACTATAAAGGTAGTGGGTTTGTGTCAACCATCTCTGATATTGTTTTAATGTCACCTTTGCACCATTTATAACATTTCTGGTATATTTTTAAATGTTTATACAGTAGCGTACTGTATATTGTAATAAACAGAATAGAGGAAAACAGCTCTAATATACATTATTTAGGTATGCATACTGGTCAGAGAACCTGTCGTAAGTATGAGTTGTTAGCAAACGAGTACATTGCTAAGCGAGGAGAGGCTATATAAATATTTTCTACATTTTTTAACATATTGGCCGTTTCCCACCGAGGCAGGATGACCCAAAAAAGAAAGAAAATACTTTCATCATTCAACACTTCCACCCTCATTCATACATAATTACTGTCTTTGAAGAGGCACTCAGATATATGACAATTTAGATGTCCCTCCAAACAGCCAATATCACAACCCCCTCCTTTAAAGTGCAGGCACTGTACCTTCCTTCATAAAATATTATCCTGCTCACATTCCAACAGCTTGTCAGGTCCCAAAAACTATTTGTCTCCATTCACTCCTGTCTAGCATGCTTACATTCAGACCCCAAAAAAGATGCATTTTAGCATTAGATCCCCAGAATATGTCACACCTATTCCTTACCTGAAGTACCTCTCCTTGCTCAAGTATGGTCTATCAAGTGTTACTGTCTAAATTTCAGCGTCCATTACTTTGCTTTTCAATACTCAATTGTTCTAGTGATGCAGAAGCACCACTGGAGCTTTGGCACCCCATGCAGACTAACTGGCAAGCAAAAATACTACAGCTGGCTGGAAAAGGGGGCAGGACCATTACCCCCTTCTCTAGCACCCCTACACAGAAATGCATTTTTTTATAGGGTCAAAATAGGTGTCAGCAGTTAAGCACTAAAGAGTCCACCTGAAATTATACCATCAGTACCCAGAAATGGAGGAGGCAGACACAGAAGAAGCAGAATATCCAAGTATCAATCAAAATGATTGGAGCTTGTGCACCTCATTAAGTAACAAAAGGTAAAGGTAAGAGTGGCTAAACTAGTAATAATAGCAAGGCAAGGAGAGGTAGGTTTCAGGTAGTAAATGTGTGTGCATCCCCCAACAACAAACCACAGAAATATGGCAAATTATTTGTTCCTTTGTAGCTATTTAAAATGATTTCTCTGTTAAGTAATGAGGGTTCCTCTAGGTTCCATAGGAACAATAAATATTGTCCTATATATTACTTATAGGTAGTAGGTTGGTAGATAGCAACCACCCAGGGAGGTACTACCGTCCTGCCAAGTGAGTGTAAATCAAAAGCCTGTAATTGTTTTACATGATGGTAGGATTGCTGGTGTCTTTTTTCTGTCTCATAAACATGCAAGAGTTCAGGCACGTCTTGTTACTTCTACTTACACTTAGGTCACACTACACATACATATACATGTTTATATATACACACACTCATCTGAGTTTTCTTTGATTTTATCTTAATAGTTCTCGTTCTTATTGCTTTTCCTTTTATATCCATGGGATAGTGGAATAAGAATCTTTCCTCCGTAAGCCATGCGTGCTGTAAAAGCCAACTAAAATGCCGGGAACAATGGGCTAGTAAACCCTTTTCCTGTATAGCCTACTAAAAAGAAAAAGAAGAAAACCATCAAAGTGGGATGTCTGAATGTGCATGGATGTTGTGCGAATGATAAGAAAGAGATGATTGTGGATGTTATGAATGAGAAGAAGCTGGATGTCCTGGCTTTAAGTGAAACAAAATTGAAGGGAATGGGAGAGTTTCAGTGGGGAGAAATAAATGGGATTAGGTCCATGGTTTCAAATAGAGTTAGAGCTAAAGGAGGAGTAGCAATAATGTTGAAGAGGGAAAAGAGGGAATATAAATGTATTAACTCAAGGATTATGTGGAGTAAAATAAGGGTTGGATGTGAAAAGTGGGTTACAGTAAGCATTTATGCACCTGGAGAAGAGAGAAGTGTAGAGGAGAGAGAGAGAGATTTTGGGAAATGTTGAGCGAGTGCATGGGAAGTTTTGAACGAAGTGAGAGAGTACTTGTAGTTGAGGATTTCAATGCTAAAGCGGGTAAAAATGTTGTGGAGGGAGTAGTAGGTAAATTTGGGGTGCCAGAAGTAAATGAAAATGGGGAGCCTTTAATTGAGCTATGTGATATAGCATGTAATGAAAGTAGTTTGTTAGATTATGTATTGGTGGATAAAAGGTTGATGCTTAGGCTTCAGGATGTACATGTTTATAGAGGGGCAGAAAGGTGGGCTAGTGCAAGTATGAGTAGTTGGGGGGGGGGGGGGGGGGGTTGAAGGTTGGAATAGTTTTAAAAATGCAGTATTAGAATGTGGGGCAGAAGTTTGTGGCTATAGGAGGGTGGGTGCAAGAGGAAAGAGGAGTGATTGGTGGAATGAAGTAAAGGGTGTGATAAAAGAGAAAAAGGTAGCTTATGAGAGGTTTTTACAAAGCAGAAGTGTTATAAAAAGAACAGAGTATATGGAGAGTAAAAAAAAGGTGAAGAGAGTGTAAAAGGAGAGCAGATGATAGAGTGGGATAAACAAGAGTGAGATAAACAAGAAAACCTAGGGAACGAATGGATTTGTCAGTTAAAAACAGAGTAGGGAAGTTAGTAGATGGGGACCTGGAGGTATTGGGCAGATGGCAGGAATATTTTGAGGAACTTTTAAATGTCGATGAAGAAAGGGAGGCGGTCATTTCATGCACTGGCGAGGGAAATATAACGTCTTTTAGGAGTGAACAAGAGCAGGATGTGAGTGTGGGGGAGGTGCGTGAGGTATTATGAAGAATGAAAGGGAGTAAAGCAGCAGGAACTGATGGGATCATGACAGAAATGTTAAAAGCAGGGGAGGATATAGTGTTGGAGTGGTTAGTATTTTTGTTTAATAAATGTATGCAAGAGGGGAAGGTACCTAGGGATTGGCAGAGAGCATGTATAATTCCTTTATATAAAGGAAAGGGAGACAAAAGATATTGTAAAAATTATAGGGGAATAAGCTTACTGAGTATACCAGGAAAAGTGTACGGTAGGGTTATTATTGAAAGAATTAGAGGCAAGACAGAAAGTAGGAATGCAGATGAGCAAGGAGGCTCTAGAGTGGGTAGGGGATGTGTAGATCAAGTGTTTACATTGAAGCATATATGTGAACAGTATTTAGATAAAGGTAGGAAAGTTTTCATTGCATTTATGGATTTAGAAAAGGAATATGATAGAGTGGATAGGGGAGCAATGTGGCAGATGTTGCAAGTATATGGAATAGGTAGTAAGTTACTAAATGCTGTAAAGAGTTTTTATGAGGATAGTGAAGCTCAGGTTAGGGTGCATAGAAGAGAGATTACTTCCCAGCAAAAGTAGGTCTTAGTCAGGGATATGTAATGTCACCATGGTTTTGTTTAACATATTTATAGATGGGGTTGTAAAAGAAGTAAATGCTAGGGTGTTGGGGAGAGGGGAGGGATTAAATTATGGGGTATCAAATACAAAATGGGAGTTGACACAGTTACTTTTTGCTGATGATACTGTGCTCATGGGTGATTCTAAAGAAAAGCTGCTAAGGTTAGTGGACGAGTTTGGGAGGGTGTGTAAAGGTAGAAAGTTCAAAGTGAACACCGATAAGAGTAAGGTGACGAGGGTATCAAATGATTTAGATAAAGAAAAATTGGATATTACATTGGAGAGAAGGAGTATGGAAGAAGTGAATGTTTTCAGATATTTGGGAGTTGATGTGTCAGCAGATGGGTTTCTGAAGGCTGAGGTTAACCATAGAATTGATGAGGTAAAAAAGCTGAGTGGTGCGTTGAGGTACATGTGGAGACGAAAAACGTTATCAATGGGGCAAAGAAGAAAATGTATGAAAGTATAGTGGTACAACACTCTTATACGGGTGTGAAGTGTGGGTTGTAAATGCTGCAGCGAGGAGGCGGATGGAGGCAGTGGAGATGTCCTGTCTAAAGGTAATGTGTGGTGTAAATATTATGCAGAGAATTCGAAGTGTGGAAATTAGAAGGTGTGGAGTTAATAAAAGTATTAGTCAGAGGGCTGAAGAGGGGTTGTTGAGGTGGTTTGGTCATTTAGAGAGAATGGATCAAAGTAGAATGACATGGAGAGCGTATAAATCTGTAGGGAAAGGAAGGCGGGGTAGGGGTCGTCTTCAAAAAGGTTGGAGGGAGGGGGTAAAGGAGGTTTTGTAGGCAAGGGGCTTGGACTTCCAGCAAGCATGCATGAGCGTGTTAGATAGGAGTGATTGGAGACGAATGGTTTTTGGGACCTGACGAGCTGTTGGAGCGTGAGCAGGGTAATATTTAGTGAAGGGATTCAGGGAAACCGGTTATTTTCATATAGTCGGACTTGAGTCCTGGAAATGGGAAGTACAGTGCCTGCACTTTGAAGGAGGGGTTTGGGATAATGGCAGTTTGGAGGGATGTGTAACAGGACAGTATATAAATAACTGGGGCCCTGAAATTATATTCTATAGGGAGTTTACTGTATTATTTCAGGTCATTTTTTATATTGTATCTTTATATATGCTTCTAAACTGTTGTATCTGGGCACCTCTGCAAAAACAGTGATTATGTGCGAGGTGAAAGTGTTGAATGATGATTAAAGTATTTTCGTTTTGAGTATTTTCTTTCTTTTTGGGTCACCCTGCCTAGGTGGGAGACGGGTGACTTGTTAAAAAAAAAATATTACTTTGTGTATAAATCTAAATACAGTATATTTCAAAATTGCTAATTTTATCAGTATAAATTTTGTAACAACCTAGCAGCAGCTAAAAAATATATCTGTACAGTACGTACTTATTATTTTGCCGTTATTTCCTCAAATTGTGTATAGAACTTCAATGTGTTTATTTGAAAAAAAGTCAGGAGCGAGAGAGAGAGCGAGAGAGAGAGAGAGAGAGAGAGAGAGAGAGAGAGAGAGAGAGAGAGAGAGAGAGAGAGAGAGAGAGAGAGAGAGAGAGAGAGCGAGAGAGAGAGCGAGAGAGAGAGAGCAAGAGAGAGAGAGCAAGAGAGAGAGAGCAAGAGAGAGAGAGCAAGAAAGAGAGAGCAAGAGAGCGAGAAAGAGCGAGAGAGAGTGAGGGAGTGAGAGTGAGGGAGTGAGAGTGAGGGAGTGAGAGTGAGAAAGTGAGAGTGAAAGAGTGAGAGTGTGAGAGAGTGAAAACAAGAGTTAAGAGCTAGAAGATTAGAAGTCCATCACTCAGTTCAGGCTGGTCAGTCATTTCAGGTTGATCAGTCATTCATTTTAGATTGGTCAGTCAGTCAATCCAGGTCAATCAGTTCAGATCTGTCTCTTACTTCAGTTAAGGAAATAACACTACTACTACTACTACTACTTACCTTGTCTTTTGATCTGATCAAGAATCATATCAATAACAATGAAGGTTCCTGTGCGTCCAATACCAGCTGAGCAATGGACAACCACAGGCCCTGCTGATGGTATGTCTTCTTGTCTCTTGTTAACATCATGCAGGAAATTCAATACACAGCCAGGATCGGACGGAACACCATGATCAGGCCAAGCCTTATGCCAAAAGGAAAGACGTGCTTACTGCTCATACTTAATAAAAAAAATTGACTGGAGAATTTCGAAATTTTTGCCAACAGAAAATTGACCTGCTACATGATTTATACAAAAGAAATTAATTTATTAATAAGGAATCTAACTGTATTTCAAATGAAATGCAATACAGCCTCTCGTCACTTAACAATGGTAAACATTTAACGTCGGTGGATTTGTTTCAACCGTCTTTGATATTGTTTTAATGTCACCTCACCATTTATAATATTTTTAGTAGATTTTTAAATATTTATACAGTAGTGTACTGTATATTGTAATTAACAGAATAGATGAAATCAGCGCTAACATACATTATTTAGGGATGCAAGCGGGTCAGAAAGCCCATCGTAAGTCCAAGTTGTCGGCAAACAAGTATGTCGCTAAGTAAGGAGAGGCTGTATACTGATATGTATTAATTCTGTAACTTAAGGGCACCTACATCCTTATTTATGTTTTTTAAAGATACCAATCACTTTCAATGAGAATTTAGTTACAGTAGACAGTCATTTAACATGATTGTGTCTTGCACGTTTTTTTGTTATAGCATGATTGAAGAATTGTGAAATTTTTGTTTAGCACTTTGTAAAATTAGTTTAACACGGTTGCATGAGGGGAAAAAATTTTGAGCACACTGTCGCCTGCCGGGCAGGATGGTCTGTGGGCTAGTGGGTTACACCACTGTGTCAACGGGGGAGACCTATCGCCATCCCCCACCTCCCTAAGCCACCCACACCACCCTCTACATCGTGTTTAATGCTGACGAGACAAGTGTTTTCTGGAAAATATGCCAACATGAACTTTTATCAGTCAGCAAGAGAAAAGTGCACTGGGCTTCAAGACAGCAAAGGATTGCTTCACCTTGCTTCTTTGTGGTAATGTGTCAGGTGATTTCAAGTCTAAGCCCATGGTTATTTACAGCTCTAGGAATCCTCGTGCTTTGAAAGGTGTAAATAAGAACACCTTACCAGTATTCTGGAGGTCAAACCAGTCAGCATGGATGACAGAGGAAATATTTATTGACTGGTTTAAGCATCACTTTATTCCTGAAGTCAAGCTTTACCTGCACAGCAAGAATCTTGCATTCAAGGCTCTCTTCATTCTTGATAATTCCTGTACTTATCCACAAGCTTTGCTGGATGTGACCCCACATGTAAAAGTTGTATTTTTACTTCCAAATACATCTCTAATACAACCACTGGATCAGGGAGTTATTAGGTCATTCAAGTGTAACTACACAAAAAAGTTACGAAAAACTAGTTACATCCATGGACCCTAACTCCAACCCTGCAGTACCAAGCTTCTGAAATAAATTCAACATTGCAGATGCCATCAGCTTTGTTAGAAGTGCATGGAATGAAGTGCCCCAATGAACATTAACCCTTAAACTGTCCAAACGTAGATCTATGTTCACGTGCATAGTGCTCTGACCTTTATTTTCTCCATTTGTTTCAAATGTAAAAAAAACGTAGATCTATGTTCAGAGCACTACGCACGTAAACGTAGATCTACGTTTGGACAGTTAAAGGGTTAAATGCAGGCTGGGGAAAGTTATGGCCTTCTGTAGTTAATTCTTTCACTGGTTTTTCCTTGCTTGAGAGTCAGGTTCAGGAAATTGTTCAGCTGGCACTGAGATTACCAAGTGATGGTTTTGAAGATATGAATGAAGATGTAAATGAGCTCTTAGAAGATGATGATGATGAAGACATTAGTCCAGAGGAGATGTAGGCAGAGCTCAATGCACAGATACAAGGGAGGGAGATAACAGAAGAAGATGAAGAAGAACCTGAAGAAAAACAGTTAACACTGCAGCAGTTACGTGAGCAGTTCCATGTTGCTGCTAAACTAGCAGACTTTTTAACTGAAGAGGACCCTGACAAATCTAGAAACAGTGCTTTAAAATGGGGTCTAGACTAGCTAATGATGCCTTACTGTCAGCTGAATAATGTACTGCAGGGTAAAAAGAGCCTAGAGATCCATTACAGAATTTATGCACACTCCAATACAACCATTGACTTCAGTACCAGAACCTCTACCATCCACTTCTACCAACAACCATCCACCTCAGCCCAGTAGGACCACACCATCCATATCTACTCTTCACAATCATCCACAAACATCATTACCCATAATTTAAAGTAAGAAATACTATTAAAGTGGTCCCTCAATAATCGTCTGGCCTGAAAGTCGTCCATTTCGGAAATAGTCCTGTTTTTTCGTCAAAATATTAGCTCAGAAATGGTCCGGTAACTCGCTAATAGTCCTTCGTCCCGGACGCGTACTCACGGTCTGAGCGGCCTTGAGCCGCCTCGGCCTTTTCTTCCCAGCCAGTGTGCCATTGATTACCAGTGAGCAACGGTCCCCTCACATGCTCCAGCGAAATATTTCATAATATTTCATTTATTTTAGTGCTTGCAAGTTATTTAAGTGCTAAATAAGCTACCATGGCTCCAAAGAAAGCTCCTAGTGCCAAGCCTTTGGTAAAGAAGGTGAGAAATACGATTGAATTTAAGAAAAACATCATTGAACAATATGATAGTGGCGTACGTGTGGGCGAACTAGCCAGGATGTAAAACAAATCCCGTACAACCATATCTTCCATCATAGCCAAGAAAAAGGAAATCAAGGATGGTGCTATTGCAAAGGGGGTAAATATGCTGACAAAAATGAGATCACCAGTACTCGAAGATGTTGAGAAGTTATTATTGGTGTGGATAAACGAGAAACAATTAGCAGGAGACAGTCTTACGACGTCGCTTATTTGTGAAAAGGCTAGGCAGTTGCATGACAATTTGGTAAAGAAATTGCCTGCAACTAGTGATGATGTGAGTGAATTTAAGGCCAGCAAAGGCTGGTTTGAGAGATTTAAGAAGCGTACTGGCATACACAGTGTGGTAAGGCATGGTGAGGCTGCCAGTTCTGACACCAAAGCGGCTGAAAAATATGTGCATGAATTCCAGGAGTACATAGAGGCTGAAGGACTGAAACCTGAACAAGTGTTCAATTGTGATGAAACAGGCCTCTTTTGGAAGAAAATGCCAAAGAGAACCTTCATTACACAAGAGGAAAAGGCAATGCCAGGACACAAGCCTATGAAAGACAGGCTGACGCTAATGTTCTGTGCTAGTGCTAGTGGGGATTTCAAAGTGAAGCCATTACTAGTGTACCATTCTGAAAATCCCAGAGTGTTCAGGAAAAACAATGTTATGAAGAGTAAATTGTGTGTTTTGGAAATCTACTAGTAAGGCATGGGTCACGAGGGAAATTTTTGTAGAGTGGTTCAATGAAGTGTTTGGCCCTAGTGTGAAGAATTACCTCCTGGAAAAGAAATTTGATCTCAAGTGCCTCCTAGTAATGGACAATGCACCTGCTCATCCTCCAAACTTGGATGACCTAATTCTGAAGGAGTTTGGGTTCATCACAGTAAAGTTCTTGCCCCCGAATACTACTCCTCTCCTCCAGCCCATGGACCAGCAGGTCATTTTACACTTTAAAAAACTCTACACCAAAGCAATGTTTGAAAGGTGCTTGAATGTGACCTCAGACACTCACTTGACCCTACGAGATTTTTGGAAAGAACATTTCAGTATTCTCCATTGCGTAAGCCTTATAGGTAAGGCTTGGGAGGGAGTGACTACCAGGACTTCGAACTCTGCTTGGAGAAAACTGTGGCCAGACTGTGTCCACAAGAGGGATTTTGAAGGGTTTGGGGCTGACCCTGATGAGCCTATGTCAGTTGTTAAATCCAATGTGGCACTGGGGACTTCCATGGGGTTGGATGCGAGTTTGGAGGATGTGGAAGAGTTGGTGGAGGACCACAATGAAGTGCTAACCAATGAGGAGCTGCAAGAGCTTCAGCAGGAACAGCAACAGATGGCAGCTCTGAATCTTGCTGCAGAGGAGGAGGAAGAGAAATGGAGGAAGGTGCCTTCTTCAGAAATTAAGGAGATTTTTGAAATGTGGGGTAGGATGGAAAGATTTATGGAGAAACATCACCCAGAGAAGGATGTTGCAAGCCATATCAAAAACTTGTACAGTGACAGAGTTTTCGCCCATTTTAGGGAAGTTTTAAAGAGACGCCAGAAACAGAGCTCTCTGGACAGTTTTTTTGCGAGACAGGACTCCAGTGACTCTCAAGGTGGTCCTAGTGGCATTAAGAAACAGAGAAAAGAAGCAATTGGTACCAGAGGTGTTGATGTAAGGGGATTCCCCTTCCAAACAGTAATTCATCCAATCAGTCTCCTCCTCCAGTCTTCCATACACAAAGAAGAACCTCCAATAAAGGTAAGTGTTATTCTGTTAATGTTTAATTCATCATGTGCCACTGTATTGTTTATGTACTACATCTATATTTCATGTAAAAAAAATTTTTGTTTTAATACTTCTGGGTGTCACGAACGGATTACTTGAATTTACATTATTTCTTATGGGGAAAATTGATTCGTAAATCGTCCATTTCGATAATAGTCCCACTTCCAGGAACGGATTATGGACGATTATTGAGGGACCACTGTATTTCTATTGCATTTGTAGTCTTAAGCATTAATATATCACGATAATGCACTACAATTACATATTCACTTTTATTTTGTAAGATCTGGAGGCCTAAAAAAAAAAAAAGCTGTTTGGGTTTTTGGGGGCTCCCAGGAATGTAACCCTATTTTTCCCATAAGTTCTTCAGTTTGTCTAACACGGAGTTTTCAGGAACGTAACTACAGTGTTAAACGACAGTCTACTGCAGTTTATTTCCACTTATCTGCATGGGTAAGTGGAACAGAATTCTTCCTGCATAAGCTATGTGTGTTGCATGCGGCAACTAAAATGCCAGGAGCAAGGGGCTAGTAACCTCTTCTCCTGCATATACTGTATTACTAATTTTAAAAAGAGAAACTTTCATTTTTCTTTCTGGGCCACCCTGCCTTGGTGGGATACAGATGCTTTTTGAAAGAAGTAGGACCCCCATATCT